AGGGCAGCAACGGGACCCAGCCCCAGACCTCAAACCCCCCCAGTGGGGGCAGGGAGCAGGGTGTTTGCAGAGATGGTGTAAGGACAGAGCGGGGGCCGGGGGCTCGTCCTGCGCCCTTGCTGGCCTGGGAGCGCAGAGGTTTCTGGGGTCCCCCTTGGATTTCCAGCTCCCTGGGATGACTGTGTTCATGGTGCTGAGTGGGGCTGGACCCTCCTCTCTGGATCATGCCGACACGGGGTTTGAGGACAAGGGATGCAGGGCATGTCCCTTCGGGTGGGAGCAGCGATGGCACAGGGCTGGGACGCAGGGACCTGGCTCTGCACCGCACCGAGCATCACCCCAGGAGGCAGGTTGGCTGCCAACCAGCAGGTTCCCAGTGCGACCCATGGGTTCCCAATTCCCCCAAAAAATCCCATCGAACAGCACCAACAGTGCCTGCATCTCCTTCCCCGAGAAAGTGGGAGCCAGGGAGCCGCTTGCAAAGTGTCCCCTTCGGGCTGGCTCTGCCAAACGGTGAGAGGAGCAGGAGCCTGCCTGTCCCCGCTGCCTGCCACCGTGCCACCCAGCTCGTGGCACAGCCCTGGTGGCACAGCTGGGGATGCTGGGGCAGGCAGCGGGTGCAGGGCAGTGGCCGGAGGAGGGATGGACGGATGGATGGATGGACGGATGGACGGATGGATGATGAGGGAAGGAGCCCAGCTTTGTTTGGTTTTGTCCTTAAATGAAAAAGAAAAAGGGACGACGGTGCAATTTGATGAGTTTCTGGGAACTCTAACACTTCCCAGCACGGGGGGGTTCAGTCCTTGTATCTCCTTTTGCCTTGTTGTGTTGGCCGGCTCCTTTGTTTATACAGCCCCCGTTCGACCTTTTAAATTGCTGTTAATGTTTTAGCGTAACGAATTAGTCTCTCATCACGAATCAGGACTCGAAATAAAAAAAAAAAAAAATTTAAAAAAAAAAACCCTCCGAGGCCAACTTCCTGAAATTGGGGTCATTCTCATTTGCAAGGCAGAGAATCTGAGAACCTTAATGCAAGGAAATTTATTCAAAGGCAGAGCCCCGGCGTGATTAGGCCCTTTGTAATTATAGCTCGGAGAGATTCCACTCCAGCCTCCTGCCTCCCTCATGGATTAGCAAGTGAGTCGGAAAAATACACAGGATTTAATTAGAGGCAAATTAAAATTGGTAATGAAATAGGGGCAGTAGCAAATGGCAGGGAGTTGGAAGGGGAAAAGGGAGCTGGTATCTCTCGGGGCTGCGCTGTCTGCCTACGTGTGTGTCTCTTTATTTTACATTTAGAAATGTAAAGATGGTTGATGTAAAGAAGAAAGGGAGGGAAAGGACCAAAAAAGGGAGGGTGCGGGGAAGAAAAAGAAAGGAAGAGATTAGCCAGCTTTGCCAAGGATCACCGAGTGAGCTGCGGCGGAGAGGGTGGCTCTGCTCCCGGGTCCTTGGTGTGACTTGTCCCTTGTCCCACCCTGTCCCCATCGTCCTCGCTGTCTGGCCACGGCTGATGAAACAGGGTTGTCCCCCACGTGTGGTTCCTAAATCCCCTGTGTGCTGATGGGGTGAGTGAGTGTTTGCAGCATCCCTGGGTGGCTTTGCAGAGCATTCCAGGGCAGCCCGGAGCCATGGGGACCCACAGGGGCTGGGTGAGGAGGATGATGGGGAGGAAGAGGAGGGATGGGGGCCGTGGCGCTGAGCTCTCCTGCCCGCTCTGCCTGCAGAACGCCGTCCGCCACAACCTGAGCCTGCACAAGTGCTTCGTGCGCGTGGAGAACGTCAAGGGAGCCGTCTGGACCGTCGACGAGCATGAGTACCAAAAGCGAAGGCCACCAAAGATGACAGGGTGGGTCCTCCTTTCCCGCGGGACACCCTCCTCCACTGCCAACCCCCCTGTCCCCGGGCTGGGAGCGCTCAGCCGTGCATCGTTCTGCTTTCTCTCTGTCTGCAGGAGTCCGACTTTAGTCAAAAACATGATTTCAGGACTCGGTTACGGAGCACTTAATGCAAGTTACCAGGTAAGGACCCAGTCCCGCCCCTGGCAGGGATGCAGGAGCATTAAATCTTCATCACTCCACAGTCACAGAATCATAGAATCACAGGATGGTTTGGGTTGGAAGGGACCTTAAAGCCCATCCAGTGCCACCCCCTGCCATGGGCAGGGACACCTCCCACTAGCCCAGGTTGCCCAAAGCCTCATCCAGCCTGGCCTTGAACCCCTCCAGGGATGGGGCATCCACAGCTTCTCTGGGCACCCTGGGCCACTGCCTCACCCCCCACACAGGAAAACATTTCTTCCCAATATCTCATCTCAATCTCCCCTCTTCCAGTTTAAATCCATTCCCCCTCGTCCTGTTTTCCATCGCGGTCTCGCGTCCTCCGTGCCTCGAGCCGCTGTGTGTTTCTGTTTCAGGCTGCGCTGGCGGAGAGCAGCTTCCCGCTGCTGAACAGCCCCACTATGATCAACACCAGCTCGGCCAGCGGCATGCTGCACGTGGGCCACGACGACGTGAGCAGCACCGTGGAGCAGGTCAACAGCAACGGCAGCAACAGCCCGCGCCTGTCCCCGCAGCAGTACAGGTCAGCCCGGCCGCGGGCAAGGGGGCGATGGTGCTGGTGGGTGGTACTGGGCTGCTGGAGGGGCTGGAGCTCAGGGATGGTGGCACATGGGGCACCGGGAGCTGCTTGTTGCCTCCCATGGCTCTTGTCCCCTGGGGGGTGTTGGACTGGGAGTCTGGTGGGGTTGTGGGCAGTGGGAGCGGCTCCCTGAGGCTCCTTCTCCTATCCAGTGCACGTGAAGGAGGAACCAGCCGAGGCAGAGGACGACAGCAGACCCGTCTCGCTGATGGCCACCACCAACCAAAATGTGACGATTCCTGACGACAGGGACCTGGAGGAAGAGCTGCCGGTGGAAGACTTGTCCTAAGGACACCTTCCTCCTCCCCACCGAGGGGCAAACCCTTCCCACCCTCCTGGCCAGAGACCAAGCGACGGCTCTCCCACCTCCCCAAGGTGACCTTCGGCGTTAACCTGGTTTTTAAAGGCACTTCCACAAAGCAAAAGGGTTTCCTTGGTGCGACAACCTGTTGTTGACGGCGCGTCCCTCCTGCTCCCCACTGCCCAGCGCCGCAGCCCCAGTGACTGTCCGACCCCTGCCGCGGGGGACATCCCGCGACACGAGAAGCAAAAACCTGAGAGCTGGGCTTTTTCTCCCCTTCTCCCTCGGTTAGTGACTGGTGAACGAGGATGGTAGGTTGTTTCTGTCCGAAATCATCCCTCCTTCCGTCCCCTCTTCCCCTGCGGTGCTCTGCCGCCCAGCGATGCTCGAGCCTCCACCAGCGTCCGACCCAGGGAGGGAAAGCAGTGGCAGGAACCCACTGTCATCTCTCCGTCCCCCAACGGGGTTTGCACTAGGAGGGACCGTGGACCCTGCCCACGCACTGCCTCCACCCGGCTTTGGGGGAAGAAACAGCAGAAACGGGGACGAGTCCTCCGCCACAGTCTGGACATCAGGCTTGCACCGTTGTCTCGTGGCTGGGGAAGGCCAAGGACCAGCACGTTGGTGGGACCGTGTCCCCTTTGCCTTGTCACC